CTCAAACTTGGGTAATTTAACCGATATGTTCTTCTATTTCTTATTCTTTAGCGTTTGTCCCGCTTGTAGGCGGGGTCCGCTTTTCTGATATGTTGACGCCACTTCTCCCGATTGAACGCTTGATCGGGGTGAATGTTCACCGCTTTAAGGTCTTCGTGCAACGTATTGAGCCACCGCTGCTTGGACGTCCTCTAGGCCACTCTCCAGGCGCGTCAAGGTTGAGACCGGTCTTACGGATACTGGCGTTCTATGCGCGAAGAATATGACCATACCATCGTAGACGGGGTTCACGCATTTTATGGACAATGGGCCCTACACCGAATCCCTCCCTGATGGCGTTATTACTTATACGGTCTAGGCGTGTTACTCCTGCTGTCCAGCGCAGCATTTTGGTCTCCATCACACTGAGACGGGCTTCAACTTCTTTGGTTGCAGGCCAGCATTCAGCGCCGTAAATTGCGACCGGCCGGATGACGGTTCTGTAGATCTTAGATTTGAGATGCTCAGGGATGTTCTTATCGCAGAGTACGCCAGTCATTGAGCGCCACTTCAACCACGCTGCATTCACGCGAGAATTCGCTTCAAAATCCAGGTTGCCGTCAGACGCAATTGCCGATCTAAGGTACTTAAGGTTGTTGTCCGTGTGAGCTCAGTGCCATTGATCTTGATAGAGCCTCTGTAGCCGACTGAGTACTTTATCAACGATAGAGGAATCGGTGATAATATACTCAGTCTTTTTGACGTTTAGCCTGAGCCCGAACATAGACAGACGGTCGGACCAGGTCTGCACCTGTGACTCGAGCTCGCTTTTGTCTTCGCTAGCGAGCACCACGTAACATTTTTGATGTGACGAGGGTGCTCGTAGGCCGGCCTGTCACCGGGCCTTTCGCCAGGATTCGAATGTCCGTGGTCAGCTCAGCCACAGAATGGGCAGTTTCTAGTGGCACCTCTTGAAGGGACGGACATCGCCACCTAATTGAAGATTGAGGATGCAAGAAACTCAAACCATTAGAATAATATAATTAGCACCAACAGGTAAAAAATAATGCAAAAACACTTCAACCGAAGATGACATAAGAGACTGCTACAGTTAGAATGATGCAAGAAATATTAGACCTTAAAATGGTCCATCGATGGAAGGCGCAAGAGAGGAATATAAGAAAATGAATAATAGTAAGCTTCCTGAGGGGATCCGATCAATGAATAAAATAGAGGTTACGGGGGAGAAGCGCGATGTCGAATTATGCCCTAAGCGGAGTATAGCCGTCATATATACCCGCGCTACCCGCGCTTTGGGCGTGAAACCGATATTTGATCTACTGATGGGGAAGATCATAAGACGGCGCGTGCAATCGCGGCCTAACAACCGCGATAGTGCATACAATGCCCTGCTCAAGTCAGATATTAGTAAATGGAACGTTGCTGACGAAGATGGGAACATCGCCATACCATACATTATCATGGGGCATTCAGTAAGCATTTGCAGGATACAGTAAGAGTATTGTAGAGTCGTGCAGAACAGCTACTTCCACACAGTCTCATCAGACTATGGCTAGTTGTTTTTCTGTCAAACAATGTTCTTGAGGTCAATCCCATCAGAAGGTGATTGCTAACGCTATACAGCGAATCCTGAGCAACACATGCATTTGATTCAGGAAACGTACTGATGAAAAGGACTATGCAGATATTACGAACCAACGAGGTAAAGGGTAAGTGTCTGAGTGGCTGGTCAGCTATGAAGGCATACTGAAAGCAAGTCTACGGGAACTCAAGGAAAGTGGACAGATTATTTCCAGTTGCTACTCGAACGTCGGACGCGTAAGGGGCAGTGCGCCTTTGCAACTCGAATATAGCAATGTGAAATCATAAGTGTATCTACTAAGACCAAGCCGTCGAAGCTTATACATACTAAACGAGGGGGCCCTTTTCCAGGGGTAGGTTTCCTAATAGTGATGGTGTTTCAGATGCATGTGGATGTGACGTGTGTTACACGAGCTGCTGCACCTTTGCGGTCTGTGGCATGAGAATATCAGATACGATCGCGATAACTACGTTGAAACTTTTTATGTCAATATCCCAGAACGTTAGCCTGTTCCTTCGAAAGAAAAAAGGAATATACCCGAATTGGAAGGTGATTCGAGAGTTAATACTGACGAACAACGAGCAGTAATTCGTATGGCATCTTCTAAGGATCAGTTGTTTGTTTATTTGAGGGCGGGAGTAATTAGAGCCAAAGCCCCATTAAACGGGGTAGGCCTCTTAAAGAGAGATCCTGAGGAAGGCTACCTCCCTGACCACACAGCACAAACTCAGATGTTGCATGTGGGAGCGTCGCTGCATCACGGTAGAAGAAATTACTGAGTGTTAAACAAGCGACATAAATATTCAAATTTTCTGTTTGAGTCATTCCTTATCAGTTGGTAATCTGTTTTTATCTTCATGGAATAATTGAATACTCGCAAGTGAATTTTCGTAGAAGTAATTAAGATCAAAAAGCTCATTCTGATCGTCAACAGCACCTCTGACCGTGATGGCTTGGTTTCGGGCGCAGTTCATACTTGTATGGTTTCACCACGGAGACGCGGTCGAATGCCGCATGCCGTGTGCTCGAATAATTTTTTCGTTGAGCACCGTTCAGTGGAATTTTATCGCTAGATGTTGGATAGATAATAGTAATAACAACAATAATAATAACAAAATAATAATAATTATTATGACGCGTAGGTTACCCGGTCGATCACGGGTTGTCTAAGGGTAGGCTGTTAAGAAGAGGAACCTTTATTAACTGAGATGATAAAGAGTAAGCTTCCACTTGACAGTAAGACAAAGCTGGAATGAACAGATTAAGACAGATCAACTGTCTCCTACAGCAGCAGTACGGTATCATACAGAAACATTTCGTAACCGAGATCTATGATAATTGTACATAACAAGTGATTACGAAATACGAAAGGAAAAAGAAAAGAGTGGTTCCTTCGTGGCTTCAAATGAACGTTAGGGTGGCCGATACCACCCTCAATGCGGAGTATCTTGTTTCGCGACAGGGACGAATGGAGACGTTGCTGAGACTCCCGAGGAAATCTGTTACAAACGGGTTGACAAGTGCAACAGGTGATGTTGTTATGTGACAAGATTATGTCGTTATTAAAAGCTTTACGCAGCTCTGCTTGGAAAATAACATGCTCCAATGCGGACGCCGTCAGGGGGTGCGTATCGTGATGCGGCCCAGGAGCGCTGAGCGTGATCAGTTGGCGCAAAGGCGCTTCACGATGTACTCTAAAAGCGTTCATTGTGATTCGCGAAAGTTGGCAGCGAAAGTAAATAGGTGTCTGCGCTAAAGCATGAACATGAAACACGCACGAAACAACCAAGAGTGATCAAAATTGGCAGCAGGTGACCACGAAGATAAATTATCAATTAAAGGATTAGTAGCTAGAATCAGATCAAGAATCGTTTTGCCACGTAAGGGTAGGTTGTGAACCAAACTACTCCACTACATTCGAAAATTCAAAAAGATTTCGACACATCGAGTTTATATAGTATTTCTATGTAGCTAGATTATTTATGATCCGAGCACCCATGCGCGATTGAACGTTCGGAAGAATGAGCTCTAGACCATCTCAATGAGTTTCACTTTCTCGTTTGAACTTCACTTGAGCAAACCACACCTTTAATTTACTCTTCAATGGATAGAACAACTGTCTCAAGACAATATATTCGAAGAAGATCCGGTTTGAGGCTAATAGTGAAGGTAGAGCAGCTCAACTAATATTTTCGCTAACCATGTACGCACAGTCATCTCGGCTTCCGTTACGATTAGTTGGGTAGACTCTATGAAGTCGGCCAGAAACAGTTTCTGCAACAGTTTTCTAGAAAACAGCCATGTCCCAGTTACTGAAACCAGGTCAGCGCTTTGGCTCGAAGGAGCAGAAAGCAGTTGAAGGCACGGCCCACGTGAAAGATGGTTTCGTAGATTTCCTTTCATGATTACCCAGCCCATATGTAACAGAAAGGACTGTTATCAGGTCCAAAAACTCAAGACTTAGGGCATACTAGGAGCCTCATTGAGGGATCGGTCGATTGCCACCCCCATTCCACCGATTTTATGTCATATGGGTACAGAGGCGACACAGGTTGCGCTATTCGCACTAAGACCCACACGCTCATGATCAACTGATCGCCGGGAGTTGAGGTGATGCGTTACTCCCACTCCGTTATTCTGTGCTATTCTGCTTGCTGCCAGGACCCACGCTACTCAATGACGGACATTGTATAGCTCATCCAAATACCCTTCTACTTCACTTTTCTGGTCTTATTTCGTCAGCCCGTTTTCGAGGACTTTTTAGAAGCCTCCCATGACTTTTGGAATACAGCTTCTCTTTGATTTTTCGTCATTATCTGAATAATCGAAAATTATAGTGAATTGTGCCTTTGAAGCAGCTTGGTGGATTTCTAAAATAAAAAATTGACATTCCTGTGTTTTGCTGAATTATGCATTCAGGAAGCTCGTCGGAATGTCTTATTCGCCCGGTGCACCAGCCACGACTCGTCTGCTACCTATTGCGTGGTCTATACTCCTGCCACATCCGAAACTCCTCAACTTGTTCGGAGTGGTGTGATTTCTGCAAGCACATATTTCTGTTAGTTGTGTTTATTCCAGGGGGAAATGGGGAAAATGGAGTAATGAAGGGAAGCCGAGTAATGGAGAACCTCAGACAAAACAAACTATGACAAACGTGACGATGAGCAACATTTATCACCCGGGAGACGGCCAGCCGATCGCTTGGACCAGGCACATTGAAAAAAACTGAATACCTAGTAAAAGACATGGAATGACGAATAGAAACAATTCCGCACTATAAACGCGCGGTGAATAATGAAAGCAAGAAAACGGCGAGGAAGTTGAATCGACTATATCCGGTTATGTACACGAATCAACAATGGACAAGAGCCCTGGGCATTGAGAGTATGAACGAAACGATATAAAAAGAACAAATGGATCAGCAGAAACGACACGTTCTTGCACAGTCTCGACGCATGAAGATCGACGAAATAACGCAGACACGAGCACTCCGCTGGATCCATGCCGAACACCATGGTGATCGGTCAGCGCAGGTGCGTGGCTAAAAATATGCGCATTGTTTCTGCATCGTCCTCGAAGTAGTGGTAAAAGCAAATTATTGTGATTTAAATGAATCAAGGTTGGGCGAAGATGGGCCAGCGCCAAGTGGGCCTGCATATGAACTAAGCACCAAATTCATGGCCAATGCTCGTTCATGTAACGCAACTAGAAATGCATTCCGATACTTCAAGATCTTCATGTTGGTCAAGCACGTTACTAATAATAATAGCACGTTAATAATGACTAACGGGGCCGATCGTGGACGAGGAGATCATTCTTTCTTTATGGGACTTTAATGCAGCTATTACATCTACGGGTTTTGCGGACAAAGTGCGAAATATAGAGTCGCTGGAGAACCGATTCCTCATCACTAGTCTTTATTTCACTGGTCCTCGAGATGAAGATGTCTCACCAATCAAATCTTGTTACCCTTTTCTGCAATAAAGTTCTCAGAAGTTCAAAGTGCACGAATTCGCAAATATAATTTCAAACTCAGCTATGGAAGTTCTGAAAGAAGAATTCGCTACCTATACGGGAGGCTACCTATCGTCTAATTTATATTTTTGATGAGGATCATTTCCAAGTTAATCTATGGCTATCATGACCGTTCCGGTCATGTGAAACTCGATGCTTTCTGATTATTTTAGCGATTTCGCTTACTGCTAGCCCTCAGCGCAGAAAATCTGCAGATAAAAATGTGGAGACTCTGTTTTGATGAATATCCGGCCTAAATATACGACAATGCACTGCAATTATCGATCGATTGCTTCCTTTGCTTACAACTGTTTGTAAAAGCGGAGCAAGAACATCCACCACTGAAATAGAAGCAACTATCCTAGAAATAAAACTAGTGCAGCTTCAGCAGCATCCTCGAGGTTACAAGAAATACTACGCTACGTTTCTAAGGGGACGGGACGGTAACCCTTGTAGCGGCAGATCGTCAGAACTCATAACAAGGTAGCCTCAATAAGGCCTCAGTAAGTAAAGTGCTAACAAATTCGTTTTATTACTGAGCTTTACACTGCCCTAGTTAATCGCGAAAAAATGAGAAGAAATATACTCACACCGCCAGTATCATTCGACACCGTTGGCCTTTCAGTTGAAGTTGAACTCGTGCGTCGGCTCGAAGAGCGTACATCTCCTCCTGAAGCTGACTTACGATGAAATAATAGCGGCTGAGTTTAGGAGACCGATTAAAAAGATCAATTCACGTCGTGATCTTTAAAGCCAAAAATGGTCTGTTCTAAACTCACTCTGTCTGTTACGAGCCGAATCAGTCCGTATTCGTTGCCGCATAGCATCCAGACGCGCTTGCTGCTCACGATATCGTTCTATGGCAGCGGCGCGAGCTTCTGCGCTAACGACCACACGCTTAAGCGAACTCCAATTGTTTTTGCTTCGACAAAATGAAAAACTTACATGATTAGAAAGAGAAGGTTGCGTCACAAAGGATGAAAATGGACATGAACCGTAATGTAATTGAGAAAACCCGTTCATAGATTCACTCACCGGTCTTACTTGCGATGGCCGGAACTGTCGACGTCTAAAGAATGGACTCGTGGACACTGGAGCTCTAGTTGTTATTGGAGCTTGGGTAGTAGTTGTGGTTGTCGAAGTTGTTGTTGTGTATATTGTTGTCGTTGTTGTTGGCGGTGGTGGTGGAGGTGGCGGTGGTGGAGCAGGTCGGGTAGTACCAATACGAGCTGCAGTATACAGCGGTGACTCAACAAAGATCCATCTCTCCGCTTCAATAGCACGTTTTGGCTGAGCAGGCGCATGAAAGACGCTCGTAAAACTGAGAGGTGCATCTGTGATGGCGAACGGGGTAGTTAAAGTGGTGAGTGGAAGGAAATTTTGGAAAAGCGTAGTGTCGTGAGGAAGCGGTGCGGACAGTATGTCAATACCCCAGCTGACAGCTCCTGTCTCCATTGTTGTGCTGTACGTCGTACTCATCGCGGTCGTCGCCATCGTGGCCGTAGTGTAGAAAGTGGTTGTTGTGCTTGGTTCCTCTACTGGAGGCGAAGATTCTACAGTACTACCTGTGTGTTTGCAGTGTACTACTATGTCAGTCTAAAAGCTACTACAACGATCTAACAGCAACAACTGTAAGGTTGCTAAAATTGAAACATGTGCATCTAGTACGTGTTATATCTAGTACATTTTTCTAGTAGAATAAAATACACTATTTGTTATCATGCCTAAATTCATGACTCTGACTTTTCAACTACCACTCCTTCTTCTCATATGCTGATTTTGATGAAAATTAATTCTTTGCCTTCTGTTTTTGAATTTTTTGTTTAGGATAAATTGTTGAAAATAATTTCTCGACGACATGGGCAAGCCATCGAGATTTCCGTCTAGTCGTCTAGGAGGTCGTCCACTCCTTCTTTTCATATGCTGATTTTGGTTTTTCCGTCACCCCGGAAGGATAGCACATTAGACACCATTAAGTCGAAAAATGATCTGGACAGGGCACCAGAAATGGCTTGTCTGACGCACACATCCAAAAGTGGCCGTGTTATGACGTTGTCGGAGCTGCACCACTCACCCTAGAGCACACGCATTGCAAATCCAAGCCACTAATCGTGACACGTGGCGACAGTTTCTCACAAACGAGCGTACGGCATTGGCGTTGAGACAACCACGAAAAGTACCCTCACATGGGAGAACTGGCTCTTAGTGGGAGCACTATAGTACCAGAGTCAATTTTGGCAGTTTTAGCCTACTGAAAGCAGCTTTTTACGTAACTGCATCTACTCATTCAGTGCCACCGCAGTCGTCATGACTTGTACTAATCCTTTTTTCCCCCTTTTTCGAAACCTCGAACTTCTCTAAACGAAAAGGCCTTCGCCCCTTCCTCGTCGCCTTCGAACTATTCCGGATTATACCTTGAAATTTTTCACTTAAACACTGCCTCAAAAGTTTCGTGAACTTTAGGAAACATCGCTTCCCTCGAACATATGGGACCCCAGCTTAACACTATTGATCGTGAGATGAAAGACTTTGCTTGCTGCTTCTCCGTAAGTTTGGGGTGGGCGACAGAAACATGTAACGTGATAGATAATCATGTAGCAAAAGATAAACCAAGTTGAACATCGTCACAACACCGCTGCATTATCTTTGATTTTATTTACAATAATTCTCTTTGCACGCGCATACGTCAGATGAATTCTACACTGGTATCGGAAAATCTCCTTGGATGAAGGTTTGGCATTCTCAGATACGTGATTTTGAGGAAAAGCAATCCTTATTAGTTGGAAGAAGTGGGTTCCAGTTAGGGCGAACTCAATGTAAGGCAAGGAAACAATCTTACATATGTGCAGTCTGATTAGATATCGAAGGTAATTCATCACACAGAAACTATTAGGTTGATGCTTAATTATTGCGGATTTTTTCGCGGCTTTTTTTCTCTTGAAAGAATTTGAATATAGAGTTCGGGCTTTTTCTAGAAATGATCTACTTGATTTCCTCTACAAGAATATACTCAAAAAACCATCCGCATATTCGCAAAATTAGGTTTTACTACTTCGAGAAAGATTGAAAGGTGGCGCACTCATTCCGCGATCTCAGTAACTTTTCAGCGATCGTTCATTAGGTGATCTAGTGAAGTACACATGCTTTCCTGGTGGTCAAACACGGTCAAATACGATTAAACATTTTGATATTTTCCATTTCCCTGCATTTTACCTAACTCTATAGGTATTAGGTTGATGCATAATTATTGCGGATTTTTTCCAGCAAATTTTACTTAAAGAAA